GCCTTTGCCATGCGTGTACAGCTTTTGCCATGCGTGCATGGCTTTTACCATACGTGTATGGCTTTTGCCATTCGTGTACGGCTTTTGCCATTCGTGTACGGCTTTTGCCATACGTGTATGGCAAGAAAGGGCTTAAACATATGGTAAACGTTACCTTGGGCGTATGGCAATTGCCATATACAGTGTCTGTAGAAACTGCCTTTTTTTTTACGAATCGAAAAAAATTGTAACCTAAAGATGTATTTAGTAAATTAATTAATTTTTCTACATAATGATCTCCGCTCCTGCTAATTTTTCTTCCATTTCAGTGTGTCATTTCAGGAAGCCTCTGCTTAAAAAATGGAATGTCTTTTTGCTTCCGAATGGAAGCTTTATAATCGTTAAATTTGGAGTTTTTGTAATTTTCATTGAAAATGATGCAGAATGGTCTGAAACGTAAAAATACGAAGTTTAGCGATCATGTCTGTATGCCCTCCCCCCTTTCGCCGATTTTTGGAAATTAAACTTTAGAAAATACAACAAGAAGAGAAAAAAAAAATTCAAAAAAATATGCAATTTTGTAAAATTATAGATCCCACTTAGGACTAACTCTGGCCGTAGAATCGGCTCGATCAGTCCACTAGTTCCGGAGAAAAAGCCTTTTCTTTTTTAAAAGTTTTTTGTAAAGATTTGGAAAACTAGTTAGCCGATTGGACTATTTTTTCTTTTAAAATGTCCGTCTCGATGGCCCCTGTCCAGATCAGGCATGGGCAAAATGCGCTCAATCGGCTCACCTAGCTCCCAACCTCAATTAGGCCAATGACTATAAAATAAGGGGTCCTATTGTACCGTGCAGGTAGTTGGAGGGGCAAGACCACGATGCTTGGGTCAGAGTGGGGGAATCGTTACGTCAGTCAACGCGCAAAAATTTGAATTTTTGAACGAAAAATATCAATATTTTTCTTGCTGCATTTTGCATTGTTAAAAAATATCAATTAATCAATTTTCCCTCGATCAACTTCCGCATAAAATTCCATTGAATAAATTACTCTGAATTGAATATTTCGGTAGCAAATTAATATTAAAAAATGTTAAAAAGATTTTTAAATTTTTGTTAATACAAAATTTTGTTAATACAAGATTTGTTCCAATATGAATATTGAAAGAATAAATAGATTCATACCAAAAATAGAGTTAAAAGAATCCGTTCATACAAATTATTTGAGAGAAATTTCCTTGCAGAACTTTCATGGTAAAAACATTTAGTTGTCTTCTTTGGCTCATATATCGGCAAAAAATAAGAAAAATAGATTAAAATGTAATGAAACATCCCATTCGTTTCAAACCCAGAGCTTTCTGTGGGACATTTCTATAAAAAAAACATTCAACTCCATTTTTGTTATGAATCTATTTATTCTTTCAATATTCATATTGGAAGAAATCTTGTATTAACAAAATTTTGTATTAACAAAAATTAAAAAATCTTTTCAACATTTTCTTACAATCACAAACTTGTATAGATTCCATAGAAATCTAATACAGTTCCAATAGAATGGATTTTGATTGAATTTTAAAGAACTGACATCTCATTTTTTTCCAATTTTTACGAAAATAATTATCCTAATATATAAAGGGAAGCATCGAGAATCTCGAATTGCACTCGAATGCCATCTCGAATGACAATCGATTCTTCAAAAGTCGAAACTCGAAATTAATCAAAAATAATTCGAATAGTCACCGCATAGCGGCGCTATTATTCCCTTTTATTAAAATCGATTCTTCAAAAACCGAAACTCGAAAACAATTGGAACCGTCGCCACATAGTGGCGTTATTATTCTCTTTTAAAATAAAGAAAAAAAATTGCTAGAAATTTTTCAATTAACACATTATTGAAAAAATACCACAAAGGAAAAACGAGTAAGAGGGATTCATTTCCAAAATTAAAATTTTTTTTCGAAGAAAAATTGAGGAATAAAAATTTCTCGAATTTTTTTATCAGGAAAAAAACTCCCATCATCTTTGAACTTAAAATTTGAATAAGTCGTTAGAATTATACCCGCCAAAAATGAGAAGCTAACATGCGTTATGAACACAGCAATGTCGTTTTCATGAATGATAGTGTTGTCATTTCCGGAAGTCAAGTATTGATCTTTCCGTGTGAATCTCCTAACGAGAGAACGTGCAGAAATTTCAGTGATAAAAATCATCCGCTATGGCTGCTGAAGAAAATGACCATCCCTTATCAACAAATGAGGAGATTGACGAGATTGAGTTCGGAGATAATATGGTGTAAGTAATTTTTTCGATTTATTCCGTCAACTTCAGCTAATTAATAATAATTCAGGTTATAAGGTAACACTTTGGCAAACCACGAGGTGAAATAAAATAAAGGTGGTATATATTTTTCAATTTGTTTCCGAATGACAAACATGTAAATTTAGAAAATTCTGGAAAATAATTTTTAAGCTAAAGTACTGCAATTATTTAATTATTTTATTACAGTGATATTACTGGGGCAATAATACGTGACGACCCTAATAGAGGAAGAGCAAATGCTGTTCGAGCCTCCAATCAGCCTTATCGAGTAATTCTCTCGAACATGAATGGGCGGAATATCAGAATCCTCTTCTGGGGAAAAAGGATTGCTGAGTTTCAAAGACGACTGATTGGTCAGGTATGTCTAGGACATTAATTCAGCTATTTTATTCATTCAGCACATCATTACCCATCACTTCACGATTTGTTGAGAAAAAAAATCCTCTTTTTCTATTTTTAATATATATTGCTATTCAAAAAAACATTACAAAAATTTAATACTATCTATCTTGATCACAGATTGTTAGAATCATTAGAGGAAAAGCAAATGAATCTAATCCACAATACAGAAGAAGAGAAGATAACCTGACAGCTTTTGAAATTTATATTCAACCTCACACGATAGTCTCCATCCTAAAGCCGATTCCTCAGAGTATTCCGCAGTCGATTGACTACAATGTTATTACTTTCGAACAAGCAGGACACTTCACTGGTCATGTGAGCCTCACGGGATATATTAAATTGCCCATTGAGAGAGTCACCACGAATAATTCCACTTATGGAGCTGGTATTATAACTGACGCTGCACGTTATCGATTATCAGTTTTTGTAACTGATTTTGACAAGAACGCCAGTCCCGAAATTGGTTCACATGTCACGATAACTGGAAATCTACGACGTAATGAAAATCAAGTCTTGGTCCTGCAGATTCCAAATATGACTCATATAACCGTCATTAATGATGTGCTCCTGACTGAACAGCAGATTAGAGCAGGATTTAGAGTTCCTGGCAGAAACAGACAAACTCCCGATGTTCCTAATATGCAACAGCGCCGGTCATTGGAAGAATCTAACAATGAAACAAATGCACCTCAGCCCTTAACTCAAAGGCCTCGCATGGAACTCCAAGGTGCAGATGCAGAGTTTCAGCCATCAAGAAATGGAATAAGTCAGGGCGGGATGGCGATTGTTGAGGTGGAGGAGGCACCAATTGACAGCGTCCAGGTCGGTGCTGTGATCGGTGAAATTGAAGAGGAAGCAGCTGACAGGATTCAAGTCAGGGCTGTGATTCATAACGAGAGGAATGGGAGGGTGTTTTGAAAGATTTTTTTTTATATCATATGTAGAAGTTCTCCAGTTTTTCTCCAGTTTTTTCTTTGCAAGTTAAATAATTATATTTATTGTTGTTATTAATAAGAAGCCTCGAGTCATTATGATAAAAAAAAACAGTCTGGTTTCAGGGATTAAAAAAGACTGAAAATAGTCTTAAATTAAACATAAGATTGATGAACACTTTTACGCATAAAAAAGTTATGGTATTATTAATGAAAAGATTTCAGTCGCTATATAATGTGCAGTTTTTCTCTTGGTAAAAAAAAGACTGAAAATGTAGTTGTAAAACCACGAGACTCTGAAAAAAATGATTCCATATATAATGTAGAAGATAACATCCAGGAAATTAAAAATCAGAACTATTTCAAGGATGTATTTTCTTAAAAAAAAAATGGAAAAAAGGACTGATTGAAAATTTTTTCAATTATAAATCAAAAAAATACAAAAATTAAATTATTTTACGTTTGATTTTTAACAATAGATAAAGCAGAATTTAATTGTTCAGTACTTTTAGATGTAAGTTGTTCTTTTTCTTGAAACATGTTTGTTGAATGAATGACAAAAAATAAGAACGATATTATTAATATTATAATCCACGATAATACGATTTTGTGTCATTCAAAAATCCGAGATGATGTCTCCGATGTATCTAATGGAAACGATTGTTAGATTTTCTCGCTTTTGGGAATTTTGATGTTCACAAGTTTGAAATTTGATTTTACTCATGAATGAATACTATTATGTTTTGAAGTTAGGTCGAAAATTACAAGTTTTTGGTATTCGATTGGTATTCGAGAAACACATTCTCGCAATTTACGTAATGTTGACTTATTTATGTCAGTCTTTAAATAATAAAATATTTTTGTATTCGAAATTGTAATCAAGTTCTTTACTCTCCCAAAACCGCATTAATCATTCCAAAAAAGATTGCAAATGTGTAAGAATTTACGTAATTTCATTATCGGCTCATTTTTTAAGGCTCATTTAGTGTAAAAGAAAAACATTAGAATAAAATAGTTATTCAACACTCAGAGAGTTATAATGCTCGGCACTCAACTTCATAGTTTTGACGAATATATGATCTCCATTGAATCGATGATCTTTGGGAGACTATCAACTGAATTGAACTCAAGCAATCGACAGTCATGAATCAATCAGCTAGCTCCTCAATGAATATTTTTTCAAAACTAAGGTAAAAGGGAGGATTAGAAATCACATCTCCATTATCCTGTGTCTGGAAAAAGAGAGAGGTACCACTTATGATGCCCTCTCTCGGTTAAGCTGGTATAACAGAAAATCGCGCCAGCGTACGTTTTGATATCCGTCTTATCTTTGGCGCCAATTATGATGGTATCATAACCTTAAAAGAACTGCCGAAACACGCAAATGTCTCTCATTTAGCAAAGTGCATAATTTTCGCGTTAAAAGTAAAGGTATGTAAATCAACTCGAAACGATGTTGATGCATTTACAACTATTGCAAACCACAATGAAATTTTCAAGAGGATGATAATTAATATTTTTATTAATTATATTAATAATTATATTATGCTTTCGAACTTTAACCTCCAAATATTAATTATCATCCTCTTGAAAATTTCATTGTGGTTTGCAATTGAAAAGTAATTATTGTGGTGCAAGAGTTCACGGAAACAGTAACTATCAACTTAATCATTCTATGAAAAATTATGGTGATTTATAAAATTCCTAAAAATGAAAATTTATTCTTCTTTTTAACTGAAAATTAATAAATGTGGTTGAGGTTTCAAGCAAATTTGGAACTCTATGGTCTTCTTACTGCTAAATTCTCTTCAGTGTCATTTTCCGGAGAATCAAGATATTTTTTTCAATAGTTAAGGTGGTTCTTACTGTCATACCCCAACATCAGTAAATATGCGCATGAACTAACTCATTTAATCATTGAATATTGGCAGCATTCTGTCCTGTCAGTCAGCAACTAGACGCCACTGCGCTATTCCGTAGAGGGGAAGGATACACTAGGTATTACTTAATTCGTATTATCTACAAGTCATCAAAATGACATGAATATTCGAACAGTATTGTAATCTACAATTATTTTCATTTCAGATACAACCCTCGTCGACGCTCATCATTAAGAGGGAGTGAACGGTTGGATATTACTCCAAGGAAGATCATATTGAGAAATTACATTGCCCTCGACAGGATTCTAAAGGCTTCAATCAGATTAATTAGATTAACCAAACTTATCAGATTAACCAGATTAACCAGATTAACCAGACTTACCAGATTAACTAGATTCATAGATCATCTAGGTCCGATTAATTAATCATAATCATTTCAATTGAATCTAAGTGAAAGATATAACTGATGTAATTATAAAATACGAAAAAACGAAAAAACCTTTCAGTCTCCATTAAAATTTTCTGTCCTTTTGAATAATAGTAATCGAAATAGTAATAAAGGAAAAACATGAAATAAAAAACTAAATTTCAACTGTATTTTTTTTTGCCATTACTTGATATAATCAAAAAAGTTTATTACAGAACATTCTCATTGCGACATCTTTTACTGTACTCATTCAACATGTCGAAACGGTCAGCGAATTCTGCATCTAATGTCAGCCAGAAAAGTAGATACAGATTTGTGCATGATATTGCATCTACGGGTACGAATGGCAATCGGTCTCATCCAATCTCAAATTTCAACGAAAGTTTACAGCAACTCCCATCAACTTCCACCGTTCCTCTCTTGACTACTACCGAACAAGGTGGAATTGTTAATACATCCATCTGCTCAAACCAAATATTATTAACACGACCAGCTAATGAACACTCAATATCAAATTCCACAATTACCGATAACAATAATCATTGTCGTCGTCGCGATTCAAAAACACAGAATATTGAATCATATTCGAGAGCTGAATGTCTTATTTCTCAAGTGCCCAAAGAATCTGATAAGTTGTTTTCAACCTCTACCAATTTCCAAAATAATTCAATGCTTCGATTTGATGATTTGTTGAGCAATTTCGAACAGCCTTCACGAATCATTCAAACCCCACACTCGATTCCGAAGGCCAATAAAAAGAAAATGACTATTAAAATTGTTTCTAATCAACCTCACAATGATAATTCACAATTCCGTGTGTCTCCATTGACAAATTTATCTCGAATTCCTCCAATACAAAGCAATAAACAATTCAAATACATTCATAATCTGACAAACTCTTCTTCAGCTTCGAATAATTCCCCAACGAACTCAATTCAAAATTCTGATAAAATAACTAATAACAATTCACAGAGTAATGGTTCTCGGAATCGGGATAAACTTCGATATTCCCATGAAATTATGTCCAATAACGATTCACGAAAATGCGAGAATCGACAAGATCATCATATCGCTCATAATGATGAATTAACAGCAAACGCTATTGATATTCCACTCCATCATTTGGGCCCTATGAATATACAATGTACATGTTGTGGTGCACGACACTTTCAAGGAGAAAAAGTGGCTAGCAAAACTACTTTTAATGATTGCTGTAGTCATGGTAAAGTGAAACTTGAGCCTTTGCCAGAACCACCGCCGATTTTGAAGCAATTATTCCATGGTGAGCATGAAAAATCGAATCATTTCTTCCAACGAATTCGTCACTATAATAATTCATTTTCCTTTGCATCATTCAATGCTAATTTAGTTCAATTCAATAATAGCCGTCGTGGTCCTTACTGTTTCAAGATTCAAGGGCAAATATATTATCAAATCAATACATCGCTATATCCAGCTAATGATGAATTACCAAGCTACGGACAATTGTTCATTGTTGATCCCAATGAAGCTACAGAATTTCGAATGGATTCTAATTCTCATTTGAATAGAGAAATTGTGCAAAGTATTGATAACGCAATGCGTCAACATAATAGTTTTGCACAGGCATATTACATGATGAAGGAAGAATTAGATTTGATGAAGATGCAAAATAATGGCCAAGAACCAGAACTGCAGCTTTTATTTACTTTGAAAAAAGGCCTCGACAAACGACGCTTCAATTTTCAAAGAACAAATGAAGTGGCAGCAGTTTTTTCGACTACCGCAGATGGCGATATTCCCGAATCATACGTGACAATTCGTTCTAAACATACCAAAGAATTGCAGTACGTGAGTACATTGGATCCAAATATTGAGCCTTGGACTTATCCATTGTTTTATCCATATGGGTCGAAAGGTTGGCATATGGAAATCCCACAAAACAGTCCCAGTCGTCGAGTTAGTCGAAATGCATATTTTAAATATCGAGCAGCCATTCGAGATGGACCAAATTATTTTCTCATGGGACGTCGATTATTTCAGCAATGGGTTGTAGACTGTTACGTGAAAATCGAAAAAGACAAGATGGATTATTTACGTAGTATCCAAAAGTAACTCAGAGTTGATTCATATGAGGGTTTGATGGAATATTTGAAAAACCGAGCGAATGGATCAAATGCAAGAATAGGAAAGATCTATATTCTTCCCTCATCACATATAGGATCACCACGTTACATGTTACAAATATATCAAGATGCGATGACAATAGTTCGAACATATGGTAAGCCTGATTTATTCATTACAATGACATGTAATCCGAAATGGACTGAGATTACGGACAATCTTGATGCTGGACAAACTGCAGCTGATCGACCGGATTTAGTCGCTCGTGTTTTTCAATTGAAAAAAGATGAACTCTTGAAAATGATCAAAGTGAAAAAGTTATTTGGTGATGTACAAGCCTATGTTTATGTAATTGAATACCAAAAGCGGGGTCTACGTCACGTCCATCTTCTATTGACCTTGAAACCGACTTCAAAAATAACTACTCCTGAAATTGTAGATAAATACATTTCTGCAGAAATTTCAAATCCAGTGGTAAATCCTCGATTACATGAAATTATAAAAACCAACATGATTCACGGCCCATGCGGAGATTGGTGCTTAGATGAAAAGGAAAAGTGTTCTAAGAAATATCCCAAAGCATTCTGTGATCAAACTACCATGGATGAAGATGGTTATCCTCATTATAAGCGTCAAAACACCGGATGTTATGCTCGTTCTGATGGTTTCACTTTCGATAATCGGCATGTAGTTCCACATAATAAACAATTGTTATCAACTTTCAGCTGTCATATAAACGTAGAAGTAGTGTCAAGCGTTAGAGCAGTGAAATACCTATACAAGTATATCTTCAAAGGACACGATGCTGCGGCCGTTGTGATTCAAGGTTCTGAATCAAGTCAACAGGTAATCGATCACGATGAAATCAGCAACTATATTGAAACTCGCTATGTTAGTCCTCCTGAAGCATGCGCACGAATTTTCAACTATGAAATGCATGGTAGGAGTCATTCGATCACGCGATTGCCAGTACATTTTCCGAATCAGCAAACAGTTATGATTGATGATCTACATGATGAGAATGCTGTTCAAGCTGCATTGAGAAAGGAAACGATGCTAACCGCATATTTTGCTTTAAATACACAAGATCCTGAGGCTCGACATTTCACGTATGTAGAGATCCCTTCTCATTATACATTTAAAAAAGTTAATGGTATCTCTACGTGGTGCGATCGCAGAGGAAGATTCAATGTTATCGGTCGTATGCACTCAATCAGTCCAACATTAACCGAGTTATTTCATCTCAGATTATTATTGTTGACTGTCAGAGGTGCACAGAGTTATGAAGATTTGAAAACTGTAAACGGGATAACCCATGAAACTTTCGTCGGCGCATGTTTAGCATTAGGATTAATTGAAGACGACGATGAATGGAACAAAGCTATGCAAGAAGCTGAAATTTGGATGATGCCTGACCAATTAAGACACTTATTTGCTCGCATATTAATTTACTGCAAGCCGATCAAACCTGAAGAATTGTGGGAGAAGTTCCAGGATGCACTGTCTCAAGATCATTCACAAACCATGGCTTCATCTCAAGCTCGGAGGAAAGCATATATCCGAATAAATACTTTACTCATTCAGGAAAAATCAAGTCTTTCAAAATTCCCGTCCATGCCCCAGATCACAGAAGAGGAAAGTACTGAAGACGACATGTTACCCGCTGAGCACCTGGCAATCGGTACGACTCAATATCAAAAGCTCAATGAAAAACAACGAGAAATTGTTGATAAAATTTTACAGATCATTTCAGACGGAAAATCGAATGATGAATTGCAATGCTTTTTTGTCGATGGGCCCGGTGGGTCAGGCAAAATCTTCCTTTACACAACTCTGTATCATTTATTGCGCAGTAAGGACAAAACAATTTGTACGATGGCATTTACTGGGATTGCAGCAACTTTACTTCCCCATGGAAAAACCGTCCATAGGACATTTAAGTTACCACTGGCACTCTACACTGAGTCATCCTCGACTATTAAAACACAGTCAAATGAGGCAGAATATCTTAGGAGTGTCGACTTATTTATCTGGGATGAAGCACCAATGGCACCGCGACATGCATTAGAACTAATAAACGTGATTTTAAAAGATGTAACAAATAGCAGCAAACCGTTTGGTGGAAAACTTATATTATTAGGCGGAGACTTTCGACAATTATTGCCAGTGAAAAAGAATGCTATACGTTGTGAATTGGTTGATTTATCGATCAAAAACAGCCATCTGTGGCCCTTATTCTCACAATTTTCTCTCACACAAAATATGCGCACACGGCTAGACGAAATCGACTTCACAAAGTTTATACTCTCTGTTGGTGATGGAAGCATTAATATCAATGATTCTGATATTTGCTTACCAGACTGTTGCATAGCATCTTCAAATACTGACATTGCTGAAGATATGTACGGACAAGTTATGAGAGATCGGCAATACGAAAAATTGGTTTCATGGACAATATTATCAGCGAGAAATGTTGATGTAAGTGACATCAACAAACGTGTTTTTGAATTATTAGACAAATCAACTGAGAAGATATATACCAGTATCAACACTGTTGAAAACTGTGATAATGGTGATATAGGTGAAGTACTTTTGCCAGAATATCTGGAATCATTGGAACCTTCAGGTTTACCTCCCCATGAGTTACGGTTGAGAACTAATGCCATCATTATGCTTATTAGAAATCTTTCTATTAATGAAGGCCTGTGTAATGGAACAAGGTTGCAAATATTGCAACTATCAAATCATCTATTGAAATGTAAAATTTTAACCGGTGATAAATCAGGAAATATAGTTTTTATCAATCGTATCACTCTCTATAGCGAGAATGATTATCCATTCACATTTGGGCGCAGACAATTCCCGATCAAACTGGCATTTGCTATGACGATAAACAAATCGCAAGGGCAAACATTCGAAAAGGTTTCCATAGATTTGAGACGAGATGT